CTATTGACAAAATGTTGATATAGTGACTTATAAAAGAGGTTTATGAAAACTCTTTTAGATTAGCAAATTTTCCACTCTATGTAACAGATGAGCTTCCCTAAATCACGTTAAAATGGGAACTGATGTGTATAAACATGTTTACTTCTTAAGTTACACATATTAAATAACTGTTTATGTATTGATAATTAGAAAAAAATCTATTTATTTTGGAAATTTATCAACAGAGTGCATGACCTCTGCTGTACAGTCAAGAAACAAACCACTTCCTGTTAAGATACGTTCAGTAGAATTCAAAGAAAAGGATATTGATGTTGTGTGGGAGAAAAAGAATTCTTCCAAAACAGGTAGTGGAATGGTTCTGCCATGCTTCAGTGGTTGCAAGTAATTGATCAGAAATAATATGTTGAATGAAGATCTCAAGGAAATACCAATTGGAAAAGATCACTGTATCAAGATTACTATAAATTATCCTAAATTGTAAATGAGGAACAACAAATAATTCCCATCTTGATTTATTGTATGTAGTGTTGAAGTTTGAGGTTCTGTACTTTGGTAAATGTAAGACACATTTTAGTTGAATAAACACTTCTTAATTTAAGATCTCTTTGCTTAGACTAAAGAAAATTAAATCATTGTCTTCTTGACAGATTATAACTGGTCAGCTTATGCATTTATCTACAAAGTTCAATGTGATAGATGCATCGATGACTCAGTAGACAAGTGCAAAATTATTCCAAAGGTAAGGTTTGCATATTTCTTTTTCCAAAAGGGGGAAATTGAGTTTCTTCAGACACAGGCTTCATATTGCAAGATAATGTTAATCATGAGGACCTAAACCATGGTTATGGTTTTAACATGACTCCATCAATTTGAGTGCTTGAGTGGTAAACAACAACTTTAATTCAATGGTGTGTTATAGGGTAATCATTAATGTCATTGTGGTCATTAGCATCTTGATCAAAAGTCTTTTTCATGGTGATTATCATAACAATTAAGGAAAATAGACATGTCCATTGATAATTTGTGTGGCTGCTTTTTACAGGTTTCAATTATATTTCAGGGTAGAAAGTAATTTATCATAATTTGGCCACCTAATGGACTACGTACAGTATGATTTATTTCTAATCCCCTTGTATCATATCTTAATATGTTAACAGTGGAAAAATACAAGTCATAAATCAATATCTTTAGGGGTACTTTAACTTCTGATTAAATGGTGGTATGGTCTTTCATAATGTGTTATGATTACATGATTACAGATATATTTTTTGCATGATCTGAAAACCTTAGAACCAAACAGATTATTCAGTGCCACTGGCTTATTGGGAAAAGCCTGAACATCTTTTTGCTGCAGTATGTGTAACCTAAATCAATTTATAATTTGTATATTACTTAATTTGCGGCATTATCATCAAGAATGAGACGAATAGCAAAGCTGATATTTAACTTTTCTAAATAAAAAGGTACATGTAATATAGTTTGGTCTTTTTGCAAGCACTCAGCAGTATCTTTCTGTTATGCAACTTTGCCATAAGGTAGTTTTTACTTGGTTTTTGAGATATAACTTATGCTCACAGTCTCTGTCTTACTATATATTATCACTTTGAAGAAACACAATTAAGGTATTCCCTTGTTCTGGTTGAAGAAGTTAAAAAGGATTTTTAACAGAGCCACATGAATTCACATTTTTTATTTTCATGTGCCCTCTCCATGAGCATCAGAGCTTCTTCACCTCATCAGATTTCCTGTTTTTAGGAATATGCATAGTATTATTTGCTTGCAATGATCCCAAAATGTATGGGTGGATGGGAAGGTTAAAAGGACCCACCCAGTCATTGTTGCTCAGTCATTGATTCTAAAGTTTTGTTACATTGGTAATGCTGTTGCTATTAATACCAGTAATTGTGTTTTGCTTGGGTTTTCTTTTCATTTGTTATTGTTAGTAGTGAAATTGCCACTTCTTTTTTTTGCTTTTTTGCTGTCTTTAGGTTGTGACCTTCCCATTTAGCAAAAAAGCTCATGTATCTCTTCAAACGTTTTCTCCATATGGTAAGAATCCATCTTTTTTCTTATCAGCTTGGAAGTCTTAAAAGCTATGATGGATGCATTGTTCAATGGATATTTTCTAAGAAGTGAATAAGGTTCAAAAACAATTCGTGAATAGAAGTATGATGAATACCATCTAGTAAATGTCATAATTCAACCTAGAAAATTCTACTTGGATAAATAAATATATATATATATATATGACTTGTTTTCAAGCAGAACTTTATATTCCTGCCCATAAAATTGAATCTTTCTGGTGTATTTGCAGCCCCTGCACGAAGAATTCCTATGCTAACTAAAGCTAAAAAAGGTGGTAAGCCATACTAATATCTGCAGTACATGCACAGTATTCTTGTAAACCTCTGCGTTGTATAAGTAATGAACATGTCACCCCTAGATCTTCTTTTTCAGATTTCAGCATGCTTATAATTAGCTGAATTTGATAGAATATCTTCAATTTGCACTTAATTTCATTGTTCTTAGGAGACACCTAACTTTTCTTGCGTGGTTTGTTGTTACAGACACAGTTAAACTTGTAAGCTCTATAGTAGGAGGAATAGTAGCAGGAGTGGTTATGCTTTTGCTGTTGTTTGCTCTAGTTAGGAAAAGGCCATGCCAAGGTAAATGCTGAACTTCTTATGATGTAATTGGTATAAAGAGTCATGTGTATTCAGATTAATGCTGCTAGTGTCACTCACTCATTTAAACAATCTTCCCCCAGACACAGTTAGTGTTGTTGATAATCAAACATACCTACCCATCCTTCAACAAATATTACTAGTTGAATGTAAGTAAAGAGTTTGATTGCAGCAGAGCAAAATTTTCTTCCCACCAGTTTCATGCCTTATAGTGCATGAGGGTTATAGTTAACAGTTCATATTTACTCCATATATGCAGGAATTATTGTTGGTGTACATCAGATAATTAGCAGAGCAGTTATTTCCATTGCATTGTCTTAGTTTATTTTGTTACTATTTAAACCTAGCACTCAATTTAGTTTGTCTCAACATTTTCTCAGGACCATTATAAAATTTCAGCATCAATTTTGAAGAATTATGACAATATTTCTGTTAATAGCCAACTCAGGACTTCAATACTCTTATTATTACGATGGGCTGAGTTACTTTGTATCACCAACATATTGACCTGTGGATGTAAACATGTTTTCATGGTTATGATCTCTGTGAGCCTGTTGTTATCATTACTACTCTATATTTGAATTTCTCACTAACATCATCATCATTATTAATCATCTCCATCACTTAATTCTGATCAAATTTTGATTTAGTGTTTCTCCTGATTTTTAAAGGAAGCACCCCTCGTATGCCTCCACCAGAACCCCCGAGACTAGAAGAGAAAAAAGACGAAAAAGGTGGGCTTATCTGAGATTTTTTAGAGGACAATGTTCCTGACCATAGTTCATTAAGATTATTATTGTTATGATATAGATTTGTAGGTCGATAATACACGTGCATTTGTAAACAATGAGTTACTGGGATAACGGAAGCGTTTGTTTGATCCTATAACGTTAGAGGTTCCAAGATGGCGGATGGGAAGCAAATGTATCAACATCATTAACATCTCTCTTCTTTTTTCCTTTTTTTTTTTTCTTAATCTTTGGCGCTTGTTCGTCGTGTGTTTCAACGAGTCTTATGTGCAAAATTTATTTCGCGCGAGCTACGGCAGCTTTTTCCAATGGATAATTTCTTACTGAAGAAAGAGATAAGCTTACGCAGTTGAGATGATGAATCGTACTAACGCAGTTTCTCTGATTTAAAACTGAGTTACTTGTTCCAAAACGTAACAACCACTCTGTCTTGTACGTCCAGAAATCACTTGCTGCTGTTAGCTGAAGCTCTATTATACTCCGATGCCCTTACCTGATAAAAACCTTGGATCTACTTGCGAAGGAATCCGGAAAGTCCTTCATGGAGACTGTGCACGACAAAAGACACACATGGCCATAATTTACGATTTCTTCCCGGCAAATTCTTCATTGTGCAAAGAATTTTCATCGTTTTCGCTTCCTTTCCTTTGTACTGTCTAAAGAAATAATCTTGTTAAGAAAATAGTAATATATATCGTCGTCTAAAACCACAATACGCGAAGATACACGATGAACTGATGACCAGTCGCTTCGTATGCGCGCTTCGGTGATGAGCAAAATGGCAGCCGCGGCATGCGTTTCCCGCGCTTCTTACGTGGGAAATAGATTATTTTTTATACTCAAGCCACACGAAATGCAAGGAGTGTAAGGGATTCTTTTGCCGCTCCCTGAGGATTTCTTTAAAGCCTAAAACATGTATCAGGATGGTGAAAAAGATTAAGCAGGAAATATTACCAATTATGTTCTCTCTTTTTTCTATTTTTTCTAACAGAGCTACACTACACCTGTTATTATCCAGAAAGTGACGCTTTTCGAGACGAAGTGGCCTCGATTGTGAACTACTTTCGCCAGAACGGTTATAATGTCATCATGGACGTTATGGTGTCTACAGAAATAACTTCCCAGGGTCCTACGCGTTGGGGAGAAAGCCAAATTAGAAAAGCTAATAAGGTGCTGGTTTTCTTGTCACCTGGTTTGATAAACCTCGCTCTGGATGGGTGTGAAGGCTTCCAGTCTCAGGTAAATACATGGTACTTCTCCTTTTTCGGATGCTCGTTTGTTCTTGGCCATCTGAAAATCGTACAGTGCGTTGGCGCTAAAGCTCAAGATGGAAAAATACGTTGAATCTTGATTACAAAAACAACGATGGGCGTGATTTTTAATATACAAAATTCTCGTTTATTGACTTTGCCGTTACCGACGGAAGTCTTTAAGGTAAACGGCCAAAATCGGCCTGTGGCAAATCTTGCAGTTGTCGATTTTCGTTCTTAGCTGCGAAAAATACCATTATCAAAGCCACTGAAGACGTAATTTTCGGTTTTTATTTTCGTATATTGGTTTTCTTCGCCTTCTTTTTTAGTGTTTTAGCCGCGATAATCCAAGAAAGTTCCACAAACTACCTTGTATTGAGATTCGTGAGGGCTTTGCCGTTCATTCATCAACCCGACCGAGTGTCACGAAAGGCGAGTGACATGACAGCAGCTAATTGGCGACATCAAACACATGTGAAAAAACATCGTATTTTTTTTCACGTGTGTCGTTACGGCTTTTCTCAGGGTTTAAAATCCTTGTATAACACCATAGTTTATATGATAAATATTTATTTTCTACGATGAATCTCTTTTTTTCGACGTAATCCTTTACGCAAGTCAAAAGAAATCGGCAAGCAGTGATGCATCTTGCACTTATGATAGAGGGAGAGGAAGCTCCAAACAAAACACAGATCGAACCTACATGAGTCAGTAAATGTTTCAAGATAGTTAAATTTTAAATACTTCAAATTGGATAGTAATATACGATCATGCCGTTTTCTAAATTTTGGCTTCAGACAAGGAGTAAAAATACTCACAGGTCTGTGGAACTATGACATCCTTTGGCCTTTCACTTAGATCTGCCATTAGTAAGCTGAAAAACCTCAGTTCAGAGAGTACTCCGGGAAGCGAGGCGTTTCGATTCTCAGAGTTTAAGTAGCACGGGAAGATATGATTACTCTCAACTTGCGCGATGCCTTTGTTACGTTGAGAAATAGGGGCTACTGATAAAATGAAATAAACACAAATTTGGATATCTGACGGCATTTCGAAACCTTGTCTTTTCAGGACACCAACCGCGCTTGGATTGAGCTGGAAGCACTCCGAGACTTATACACCCGTAATCGCTCAGCTTCGAAGATGGTTTGTATAACCCTACCCGACATGCCTTTGAATTCAGAACCCCTTCCACTCTGGGCCAAAGTTATCTACAAGTGGCCCGATGATGCTTTGGAAATCTTAAAGCGTCTTAACGACAGACCGAAGATATTAGCAATTTAGAAAATGCCTGAAATCTTGCAAGCTTAGATCAGTGGCAAAAGTCATGGAGTGTATGACCTTTTCCGCAGCCTAATTGCTTTCCCCTTCCCCTTCCATTTCCCCCCATCCCCAATGCAAGGATGAGTCCTCACTGAGTTGCCATTAGAGGACTTTTATTGCGAAACAAAGAATATGAGAAAGGTATCTCCTTTCGGCTTAAACCCTTAAAATCCCAGAGTTGATCAATGAGGGATTTTTCCTTGCCATTGCAATACGTTATCGTGAAACAGATTTAGGAGAACAGACAAGCTTATCAGCAGGGGGGTGCTATCTTGCTGTAGAACCAATTTTTCCAGTCGAGTGTTTTAGAAAACTTATGTCAGTCGTTAGCTCGTGTGTTGCATTTACAAGAAAAGAAGGCAAATCATATATTCCGTGATGGTAAAAAAGAAAAGGGAACATACTTACTGCAGTAAATGATTTTATAAAATAGATTAAGCGTTTTAAATTCCAGGATTTAAAATATTTATCTTTTATTAACTTATTTACATGATATTTAATGGTGGTCTCATTAAGATGTAGTTTATTATTTATCCTCGGCTAATATGCAAGCCTTTGAATATACTAAATCTGGTAGAAATTAGAACGGAATGGTTACCAGTGCCCCGGAAATCTTAACCTGCGAGCGTGCCCTATTTATGAGTGCCTCGAGAAAGAGAAGCAAGGGGTCTTGTTCTGATAGTTGTTAGTGCCAGACCCTCCCGAAAACCTATCTCTACAGCGCAAGTCTGCAAGGAGTCATATACTAATAACTGTTAGTGCCAGACCCCCGGAAAACCTCAGCCAGCAGCGCACCCTGCAGCGCTGATTATAAGGGCTTGCTCACAGCCGGATATGGAAATCACGTTAGTGGGTATGTGAAATGTTAATAACGGGATGAAAATCATGAACATACATAAACATTAAGGCGACAGAAAATTGAAAACGTAAAATTAAAAGATAGCAGTAAGCGAGAAACTTCATGATTTTCATGCTATTGAAAAATAACGCACATTACTATAGGAAATAATGTTTGGTACAATTTGTAGCGTGCGTTAAGGATGCAAATTAGTCAGATTATGAATTATATATTAGTAATAAGAGCAATAGATCATAGTATATATGATTTACAAGATATTTGTTTGCGCACATGTCAGTTCGGACGGGAGGTATAAGCAAGTCGATTTGATTTTGTGGAAAGAATCAGGCGCCCTTTGATCGTCTTTTATCGTTTTTAAGTTATTTTGTCATTTTTTTCCCTTTTTTTTTCTATTCTTTTTCTCTTTTATTCCTCGGCGCTTATCATTAACATGCGAGCAGTTAGATTTTGATTCATAGTTGCGATTCCGTTTCATTCATCCGTCATTCATAATCAAATCAGAATTATTTAAGCAGATCATGCATTTCATTTTTAAAGATGCATCTGAAAATAGTCAGATTGTATGCTGTATGTTAAAGTGCGGACACAGGAACTATTAATTTTTTTATCAGTAAGTTGATATTTCTATCATATCTATGATTGTTAAATAAAAATACTTTTTGGAATACAAATTTCATCAACAATGAAGCTGTATTAAGTTGGCCACTTGAATTTAACTTTTCTCTATACCCTTTAGGATGGGTGTGGTTTAGGCACGAAACGACGTTTTAAGGCATGTCGCTGTTTGTT